CATCACTATAACTTTGATTATTAAAATTCTATTGCAATTTTTCTTTTTCTGCCTTTCTCTACTATCTTTCAAGCATTTTCAACATTGATTTAGTTTAGGGGTCTGTTGGTATATGCTGTTTTTACAAATTGCTAATGTGTTAAGATTTTCCGCCATTTATGAATTAATCACCTTGAACGTCATTTTAGAATGCTGGAGTTGCAATAGGAATTTAGTAATTATCTGAATATGAAGATTTTCTAGGTCGCCCTCTTTTTTTAAGCATAGGTGCCATTAATGGAACGGTTCAATTTTGTTGAATGTTTTAGGGACCCTGCATGATAGGATCATTATGAACTGTTGCAGCTTACGGTTAAAATTTAGGGGGTTATTATGCTTATTATTAGATTGGGCCAAAACCCATTTAAACTACCTCATTGGCTAGCAATTAAGGGATATCTAATATCTTGCTTCCATAAGTGTCAGTTAAAATCATCTGTTCTACGATGGGTATGCCAAGTTACTTACACAAAAATGAAATAATTGATCAAATGTCATGCTGAATAGATAGATCTATCACTGTCTAAATCCTCACAGTCCTTCCAATGTTTACCTTAATAAATATAATAATAAATTTAATCATCTTATAAGTCTATCTGACTTGAATTAAGCAATTATAATGATTATTGATAACAGATTCTCAATAAAAGTAGAAATCGGAAGAGGCGCTTCAGGAAAAGTATATTAAGCTAAAGACTTAAATACAAAAACCTCTTGTGCTGTTAAGATTGTAAATTTTACTATTGACAATCATAGTTTAATGACTAAGAAGAATATTTAACTGAGAGAAACTATTATATAAAGTATTCCAAGCAGTAATAAGATAAGTACTAAATATATATAACTTCTGGAGTGGTTGAGGCAAAATTGTTTTATATTGCCTTTAAAATGCTTGGTTTGTCACTAAAATCTCAACTTAAAATGAGATAGCAGCAAATTAGCTACAATAAGATAATTGAATTAGGACTTGCCCTCGTAAATTACATTGTTTAATTCTTTATATAGTTAGATCAGATTGAATTGGTTCATAAAGTGGGATATGTACACAAGGATATAAAGCCTGAAAACATCTTATTTAACTAAACTAATTATTAAAGAATCAACTATTCTTAAGTAACTCTTATTGATTATGGCATTTCAAAAGAATATTTGGATATTGGAGGAAAGCATATAATAAACAAGAAAATAGACCACTTTACGGGGAATTTGTATTTTAGCAGTTTGTTTTAAATGATGAATCATAGTAAACTATTTCTAATTAATCGATTTTATTAGATTCATCTAGAAGAGATGATATAATTTCCTTATTTTACTTACTGATCTACTTGAGTAGGGGAACATTACCATGGATAGGTTGTATTACTCCACCCTTGAATTAAGAGAAATATAACCAAATAATATCCTTGAAAGAATAGCATTTCCAATAAGCTCAAGTCAATAGCCATAATTGTAAAATTATTCTAGTTATTAATTTTTAGGCCCTCTTGCTAAATTATTAGTTAAAAGTTAAGGTATCAAGTTTAGTGAGGACCCTGACTACAATTATTTAAGGAAAAAATTAATTCAAATTCTGGTGGTTGAGGATTAGAAATACCACCATTAGAGAGCACATACAACAGTAGATCTTTCAAATATATTGAGTCAAAATTCTAAAAAGAGTAAGCCTTAAAATTTGATAATGTACTCGTATTTTAGACATACTTTGAAAAAATGATGATTTACATGCTCACGATACATAACCAATATAAATTAACTATTCATCAGATAAAAATCTCATTTAGCAGAGTTCACCTGCTCTCTAAACATAGATATAGTTAACGTAATTGGATGGAAATTGCTCAAGATAGTCCATTTCCCCAGAGATTTAACCATCGTTATCCAAAATTAGAAAATCTTATCATCATATATAACAAACTTAAAACAAGGAATAATATCGCAATAAAAGAAGTGAAAGTCCAAAGAAATGCAAAAAACTAAAATCAAAGGTTTTAACAAAAGTTAGAATAGATACTTTGAATGATTGCTAGAGTTGTCTTAAAATACAACCTATTGCTATGAGTGGTTGCTTAGAAGTTAAAAGATTAAAAAGAACATCTTCAATGAAGTTACCCATTGAATTAAATAATGAAGTTGATATAGAATAAATGAATCAAAATTCAGCTCTGATTGATGATGAATTGGATTACTTAGATATTGCTGATGAAGAAATAACCCAAGACTCACCAATAAGCGAACTACATGAAAAATACATTTACAATAGCAATGAAATTTCCAAAATTTGTAGTAAGATAAATAAAAATTCAATGATGCTCTGAGTTAATATTTTGAAAGCCATTAGTAATTAATCAAATATTTACAAAGACATCTGAAGTATGATAAGGAAAATAAAAAAAGAGTTTATTTCCTTTTGAGATATTAAGGAATAGATTAGCAATCTGAAATATTTATTAGATTTTGATTTGAATAAAATTAGTTTATTCATTTTATGTTCATATTTGTTTCACGGGGTTTTGGGGTTTTGGGGTTTTGGGG